TTATATGACCAATCATTAGAAAATCAATCCGGCCACTTTGGTGACTAACAAATTGATTTTATCTTAATGTCATATAATAAACAATTGCAACAATAATATTATATGACCAAATATTAAAAAATTAATTAGGCCACTTTAGTGACTAACAAATTAATTTTATCATAATGTCATATAATAAAATTATAACCATAAATTATATGACCTAACATTAAAAATTAATTAGGCCACTTTGGTGACTAACAAATTAATTTCATCTTAATGTCATATAATACAATAACAAATAACCCTTATAAACATGATGGGAATTTGTGTATATTTTGTTCATCATACAAGCTAAAATAAACAAAATATGGCTCACCAAAATAATAGGGTACTTTACCCATTAATCTTCCAAGTGGTGATAATAAAGAATATTGCATTTCAATGTACATATGGCCATTCACTTACATTGAAGAAATATCAACCATTATTTTAAACAGCAAAAGAACATCATCATCATCATGATTTAGAGAACAAAAGCAATTATCGCCACTTGTCCTCACGACACAATTAATTTATCAATAAACTAATTCAGACAAATAAATGTTGTGTGAGCCTTGAATTGTTACAAAATCTCCTCATATCATAACACTAATTCCCACATTGGAACATAATAGAACACGTAACTCATCAATAGGATTTGATTTGTTTTCTTATCATTACGAAACCATAATTCCAGATTTCAGAAAAAAAACAAGTCCAAGCAAATTTCACGCAGCCACAATTAACAATCAATTCATCATTATCATCGAATATACTACATGAACATATGCTGGACATATGAGAAATTATATTCCAATATCATATGGCCGAATAGATCAAACAGATAATAGAACAGATCTATTCGATACGGTAAAATACACATCAATTATTTATTCACAACACATGCTCTAATACCACATGTAAACTTCATCAAGGATCTTGAATAAATAATTTGGTGTATACGAAATACTTACTTGATGCGGAAGACGACATAATTAGTGATCTTGATCTTGATGATCACAAGAGGCTTAATCGATTGTTAAAACTAAATTAGTTTCTCCCTCCTGTCCAATCTTAACGTAGCAGAAAAGTGATGGATTGTGACTGCGTACCCTAATAGGAGGAGAGAGGACTAATTTATATAGAGGTGTCTTTAGATCTGGTACGTCCATCAAATATCCAGATTAATGGCTTAGATTTGTTGGACTATTAAATAAAGGCCTAGCCCAATAGGATAATTAATTGTGAGCCCAATGCTTTCGGGCCACATATTCTTACATCTCTCTCTCTCTCTCTCTCTCTCTCTTTGTCGCCGACCAAAATAATTCTGAAAAAAAAAAATCTTCATCACGGCCGAGGCAAAGATTTCATGATTCGTCCGGTATATTTTTCTTTTTTTTTTTATTTGTAAATATTTTTTAACAAATCTTTAAAGTTGCAGCCGGCCGTCGTGGTTGCGGGCGTCCGCCGATCATGGTCGGTGTGTCGTGGCCAGTTTTTTATTTGTAAATGATTCTTCAGGTGTTGTTAAACTTACTATGCTTTTTTTTTCTTATAATCGCTTGATTCCATAATCAATGTATGTGTGTGAGCCATTGATCTACTGAGAGTGCATCTCCCATCGATGATGTGTGTGTGTGCAGACGGTTCTCTATTTTTTGCCTAATGAGAGTGTATCTGCCGTCGATGGATTGTGCCGATGATAAAGGTGTGTACACATGAACGTAGGGCAGGGTGGGAGATCGATGTAGTGATTTATGTTCATGCCACGATTACGTTGTCAGTTATTATATTGAATATATTGCATAGTATTTCACACGGTGAGTTAGTTGTTTGTTCACCCCCATAAATTATCTTTTTTCAGGTTAGGTGGTTGGCTGCGGTGACGAGGAGACGAGTGTGGTTGTGGTTTATGATTGTGTTTATTTTTGCTTCCGCTAAACGTTTTCCAAACTTGTGTGTTTTGGATTTATGAAATTGACTACGCGATGACTGTGATTGGAAACTGGTTATGAATGAGTATTACTATTACATCTCGATTAATTAGAAAACTGAAATGTGATTTCTTTCGGGCAATGAGTGCCCAATTGCTTGAGTTGTGTCTTGGGCTAATTGAAAATGAAAAGAAGTGATTATTTAGTAATGCTCGGAAAGCTAATTTTTTATTAATGAATTTTGAAAATTCAAAATACATTTTTTGAGAACTTGGTGTCTTCCTTTGAAAAATAACGGGGCGTTACACAAACCAATTACAAAAGTACAATTTTTTTTAACATTCGACAAGTAAGCCAGCGAAGCCCGCAACCCATGACAAAATTGGGTCGAGCTACCCTTTTACAACCCGCAGCGATGGCAGGGCTACCCACCCCGCCATGCCAAACAACAGGTTTTGGTGGGATGGGAGCCGACTCACTCCACCAGCATGTTTTGACATTTATCTATCCTGATATAATGACAAATATTTTCTAAAACTCAAGTATATCATACACATATCAATTTCACTCATGTGACGGCTTCGAAGAAAAATTGGCTTTGTAGTGATATTAGAGTTTTATTTTCGTAGATAAAAGTCTTAAAAAATTGTCAAAAATCATTTAGGACGAATGAGATATCATCTGAGAGAAAAATTAGCTAAAATTATAGGGAATGTTGAGCTTAAGTAGCTCAAAGTTTGTTGGATCCGTAAATGGTTTGGCCTCGGACAACTGCTTGGGCCAATGGCCAACCATTAGTTGAGCAAGCAAGCAGCACACTATTACTGGTAGGCACACTAGTGTGGAGCGTTTGTCAAATAGACTCACTGGTTGGTTGCCGGGCTGCTGGGATCACTATTGGGCCGCGAGAACTCGTAGGAGCTGCAGGTGCCAGCTGTGAGTGTTGCTGATGTTGGGAGAGCTGCATGCAAGAGAAATAATTGCTTTTTGCTCTCATTTCAAAACATTCAGCCTATACTTGATGCCAATTTCATAATTCAGAAATTTCATTCATTCAACACATAGAAACAAGAGTTTAAAATGATGTTGTCCAAAGTCTGCATACACTGGATTTCATCAGGCTTCAACTTCAAACGTTTCTTTTTTCACATGTGATCACTGCCGAAATCCATATCGAAGATACAAGTACAAAGTTTGTCTAAAAGCAGGGTTCAAATCCACTTAGAAAACATTGATCTCCATTTGCCAACACACAAGAACAAGCGCTATAACAAATAGATTGAAAGGCAAAACGCTTTCAGCATCATATTTGAAGCCATACTGGATGTAGACGTCATCATAGAGAACCAAGTAATATTCACTCATTCCTCCTCATCCTCCTCATCCCCAAGCATTTCTGGACGGCAGCATAATCTCCTCAAACGGACTTTTTCCTATCGTAAAGGAAAAGTACAGGAAATGATACACAATTCTAAAAAAGACGTTTAAAAAATTGGTTATTTAATAGTTTAAAAGGGGAAATATTATCACCTCTGTGTTATCATGGTCGTATCTAATGGAGAAAAGGCATCTGCAGCCTCTGATATCGTGCAACCTCCTCTCCACATCTATGACAATAGCATCATAATATCCCGCTTTATCTTCTGTCTCCTGATTCAAAAGAAAATTGCATTTAGCGTGCCATCTAAAATTAACGTTTATAATTTATTAACTTCAAAAACTAAGAATACCCGTCATATTAAGCCCAGTCAAAGAAGAAATAAAGCCAACAAATGTTCCTACTTTAAAATTGCATCTTCAAATGGGAGGTATTTGTGAAGTTTGCAAAAACTCATGAGGGGTATTTATGTGGTATAGGTTTAGGATACCAATTAGAAATATATTGTATTCCCATAGATTAGGCTAGTTTATTAGCTTTCCTTTTTAGCTTGATCCTACACTTGTATATATATATATATAGTGTGTGTGTGGTATAGGTTAGGATATCAATTAGAAATATATTGTATTCCCATAGATTAGGCTAGTTTATTAGCTTTCCTTTTTAGCTTGATCCTACACTTGTATATAGGTCATACTGTACCCGAAGAATATGTAATACAATCAAATTCATTTCTCTCTACATGGTATCTGAGCCCGGACATAGTATCAGCTCAGAGGGCATTAGAGCCTATTAGAATAGCGTAGTGGCTTCAAAATTTTAGTCGTTTTCTTTGTGGTCCAGATCTGACTTTTTCGCGCGAGTTTTGGGTTTCACCTTCTGCACCAGCAGCCTCGTCCCATCAAGTTTCACCGTATGTCGCAGGGCATGTGAACTACACGCACCAACGTGTGAGAGCACATGTCTGGCTCGAATTTTTTCCGATGAGCGTCCGAGTGATTGGAATCTTCGACTCTGCTGGTGCTGGTGCTCTCACTTCTTCGGGGACTTTTGACTTGCAGATTGGCTGTTTCAGACCTTTTACATTTCAGTTTTTTGCCACGTCTGGCTAGTGTGTTCCTATTTTGTTGTGTCGACTTCGTTTGGGTTATTTTTTTGTCTAGGAACACACTTGAATGCTTGGAAGTTGGAATAGACCATTTCTGATCTTTGTGTTGAGAAACTTTGGTTATTTTTGTGGTTCTACGCCCCCATTTTTACTGCCTAGGCACTACTGATGGCTGAAAACAAAAAAAGTATGTTCCCACATGTCATCAGCTTCTGATATGGTTACCACCTCTGTTAAGGAGTATGTCCAACTTACTGTGATTGTGAACGAACTCACAATTACCTACTACTATTTTTTACGATGAAGGTATATCAACTGCTTGTCTTGTATTAAAAGATCGAAATGGGTCATTAATTCTGGTGCTACAGACCACATGCTTCAGCTTCAGACCATAAACTTTTCTCGACCTTCCATTCTCATACACTTACGACTCGTGCCACTGGTGGATCCACCCCACATGTTCTTGGTTCTGGTTCGATTCACCTTACACCCTCTATCTCACTACACTATATTAAGTTTGCCTAATTTCGCTTTTCACCGGCTATCGTGCTATTCATTTACTAACTTAAAAATCCTTGAATTGTAGTGTTCCAATTTTCCCCTAACTAGTGTTCTTTAGGATCTTTCGACGAAACAGATAATCAGCACTTGAGGTACATTTGCATGCTTGGATATAAAAATTTATCAAACAAATCCAATCACAATTCAAATTTAACTCAACCCAATCCTCCTCAATATTATCAATATAATTAAATAATACCAATCAATCATCCTCACATATCACATGGACTTTAATTCACTATTCATTCACTCACATAATTTTAACTACTTTTAGCTTCCAATCACCTCTCCTACATTTATTAAATCAACTTTGATCATTTTATTTTAAATATTACTTTAATACAAACTCAAAATCTCACTCAAACCTAACTTAACCAACTTTTTCAATATTAACTCTGGTTAACAAAAGAATCCAATCGGAACCAAAAAAGAAAAAAAAAATAAATAATAAAAAAAACTGATATCCAAGCAAGCCCATTCGCGTAAGTCACCCTTCTCTCCAGAATGTAAAGAAACTTTATCCCCAGTTTTCTTGCTTGTCTACTCTATGCTCTATATTGCGAGTCATGTGAGTTTGCTAAACATACTCGTACACCGTTAGGTCCAAGGATAAACAAGTGAATTACATCTCCTTTCATGCTACTTCATTTTAATGTTTTGTCCTTGTTACATTCATTGATGATTTTTCCTTGTAACTTGGATTTACTTCATAAAAAGTCGTTCTCAAGTCTTTCAACCCATCAGCTCATTGGCACCTCCTTGAGGAGGTTGCTCGAGCGTTTTTATTTCATATGAATATTCTAAACCATTTTTGGTTTAAGATAATGTGTCTACTGCATATTTCTCATTAATCCCATGCCTTCTATTGTGTTGGGCAATGTTGTTTTGTTTTCTATCCTTTTTCTAAATAAGAACTTTATTCCCATAGAACCTAAAATTTTTGGTATTACATGTTTTGTAAGGGGTACTAGACCTAATCTAACCAAATTAGATCCCAAAGTTCTAAACTGTCTTTCTAGGGTGCTCTCGTGTGACAAGGGGATATCGGTATTTTTCTCCTACGCTTAACCATTATATTGTGTCTAGAGATGTTACCTTAAACGAACGTCTTCAGTTTTTTCTTGCTTCTGTGTCTCTCTCTCTCTCATTGTCTCATTGTCGAGAAGAGTGTTATTTTATAGCTGTGTCTAACTCATCTCTTTCTGAATCCCCTCCTTTATCTAGCCCCAACACTCGTCCCCTATTACTCAAGTTTATACTCAACGTCTGCCCGCATTCCACTTTAGAGGATCCAGAGAATTCAGATTCATATCCTTTATCGGCTCATATCCTTTGTCGGCAGCTTCGGTGGAAGATACTATACCTCGTCCACCAACCTCTAAACCACGTACAGCCGATGACCTTCCTATTGCAGGAAAACATTCATTGATTCATGTATGTACCCTAGTGTCTCTGTTGCTTCTTTCTTATCCCGATCCTTTATTGCAAGGAGATTCCTTTTTTTGTTCCTAAAACTGTTGGAGAAGCTTTCGCCCATTCTGGTGGTTCGCGTGATGATATGATTGAAGAAATAAATGCTCTTGATCATAATTATACATGGACTTTAGTTGATTTACTTGTTAGCAAAAAGGCGATCAGGTTTAAGTGGGTTTTCACGGTTTAAATGAATCAGGACGGCTCTTTGGCTCGTTTGGTAGCTATAGGTTATGCTCAAACCTATGGCGCTGATTATTCTAAATTTTTCTCTCCCGTGGTGAAACTTACTTCTGTCGGCTACTCATATTGGCACCACTTTTTATTGGCCTCTTCATTAGCTTGATATATAAATTGTTTTTCTTCATGGTTTTCTTCAAGAGGTATATATGGAGCAACCACCTGAGTTTGTTCCTCAAGGGGAGTATGGGAAGGTATGTCGGCTTCGTAAATCCTTATATGGATTGAAGTAAAGTCCTCGGGCTTGGTTTGGTTAGGTCAGCCAAATCATTTTGGGATAAAGTTTAATAAGATGTAAATCTTGTCATTATATATTCTTTCGAAGCTCTACATATGGGATCATCTTAATGCTAGTGTATGATGATGATATAGTAATATGATCTGATGGGATTTTGGTGTAGAAGTCATTTTTCCATGCACATTTTCAGACAAAAGACTTAGGATCTTTGAAATATTTTCTAGGAGTGGAGATAATGAGAAGCAAGAAATCGATCTTCCTTCTTTGGAGGAAATATGTGCTCGATCTTCTTAAAAAAACTCAGAAAATATGAGTCAAGACGTGCAACACTCCAATGACTCAACTTACTTGCAGCAAGAAAAAGATGATGGTAAGTCATTCCATGATCCTGAGCGATCCCGAACACTCGGGGGAAAGTTGAACTATCTACGATAACACGTCCGAACATAGCTTTGCACCTGGTGTGACGATTGGTTTATGTATGTTCCACCGTAGGCTCTTTTTGGACAAATTTTGTGTTATCCCTTCAGGACGTAGATTATATATGGGTTGCATGGTGCGTGTTCCAGTAACTTAAGAAGCATATTATGATGCATACTATGTCGGTTGCAAGAATGATAGGAGATCGACTTCAGGGACAATATCTTCGTAGGAGGCAATCTAGTTCTATGGGAAGCAAGAAACAAAATGTTGTTTCTTGCTTCAGTTGTTGAGGCAGAGTATAGGACTAAGGCTAAGTCTGATTCGTTTTCCAATTTGCCCTGATAAATGAGTACTGAGAGAGCTCACGTTAGAGCTCAATCTTCCAGCAAAACTTTGGTGTGACAACCAAGCAACACTCCACATCGATTTGCCCTGATAAATGTGTACTGAGAGAGCTCAAGTTAGAGCTCAATCTTCCAGCAAAACTTTGGTGTGACAACCAAGCAACACTCAGCATTGCATCAAATCTGGTGATTCATGATTGAACCAAGCATATCGAGGTAGATCATCTCTTTATTCGCGACAAGGTAGAAGGGATCATTTTTACAGGATACATTGAATCACAAGACCAGCTCGGAGACGTTTTCACTAGAGAAGTGAGCGGGGTACGGATGAACAACATTAGTACCAAGAAGGTATTTTTGATACATATGTGGTATAGATTAGGAAATCAATTAGGAAAATACTGTAATCTCATAGATTAGACCAGTTGATTTGCTTTCCTTCCTTTTTAACTTGATCCTGGACTTGTATATATAGGTCGTCGTATATCATTGTATACTGTACCTTAAGAACATGGAATACAATTTGTACTCTAAAAACATGGAATACAATCATTTTTTATTTCTCTAAACTGTAATTCTCTAAAGTGTAATTCTATAAGGTGACAAAATTTTGCTTGTAAGGATAAAATAGAACTTTAAGTACGTTTTACAAAAGTAACTTCTCTACAGATCGAAATTGTGCACATATTCTAACAAGATGTCTAGATCTGGGCCTATGACATGTCAGCGCACGGCCACAGCTATTTTATCATGTTTAGCCCTAAATATTTTCATTTTTTGTGTTCAATCGTCGCTACAAATCTAGCACCTCATCTTGATGTGGGGTAAACCTCTCACGACAGTCATTTTTTTTTTTTCTTATTACTTTTTATTGCTGTACACATCAGAGAGGTTTGACATGGAAAATCCATATGTCACCTATGCCACACAATATTTTCTATTTTATATATTAAAAACAAGGGCCATAGCAGACGTAAAAACAAAAAATGGAAATGATAAAAAGATAAATATAAAATAGAGAAGTAACAAAAGAAAATATATCAAATGACCTATGTAAATAAAAGGATACCTTGAAGCATACTACATGATCCCCAGCCTCCACTTTATAGCACTCTGAAGAGTCCAATGCAACAGACCGGAGTCTCACAGAATCTTTAGCATTCACCCATTCAGCTTCCTCTGCTCCAAATCCAACATATTTTACATGAACTTCCTGCAGTCAATTGCGTTTCATATTTTAATTATTAAAACACAGAAAAAGAGATATCCATATTCCCTCTTACTGATTACATGGAAAACGAACAGCTCACAAATTATCAATTAAAAGAAAAAAGCTTTTTTTTTTAAGTAAAAAACAAGTTCCTTCATTAAGGTAAAGTGCAAACTATGTTCCAAGCTCGAAGGTAGCATTTTTTCTTGTGACAAGTTAATAATATTACAGAGAAACAATTGACAAAATGCATTGCTCTCGGGGACATTACAACGAATGATATTACATCATTAATCATAAAATGTGACAAAATACTATAACTACTCACAAGTTCGCCGGAAGCAACATATCTGTGGGAAAGAAATGTATCGACATCATACCTGAAAAAGTATTCAAGGAACGTAAATTGGTACAAAAGCAAACAAAAACTTATGCATGGCTACAATAGAGTTTTCAGATACAACAGGAATATATGTTGTAGATTAGTTTCTTCATTGTACATTGATTAATATATTATGAGAATTCGAGTTCTCACCTTTGGACTTAACTGGAATTGATTACGTTTCTACATAACCTTTTATTGATGAGATGACACACACACAAACCAATATGAGAAACTCAATCATCTTTTGTTCTGTAATTAATCCCTAAACTTATTAAATATTCATGGCCAGAAATCCAGCTGAGTTTTTACACACATCTTCTATAATATCAGAATAAAGGGAGAACAATATTCACTTTGGTAATTGGTTCACATGAGAAGGGAGGGGGGGGGGAGGGGGGGAAGGGAGGAGGAGGAGGAGGAGGAGGAGGAGGAGGAGGAGAGAGGTCTACACCATGCCTTATCCTTCGAAAGTGCCTCAAATTCCAACTCGGATGTATCTTCATCAATCTCAGCTGCCAGCAGAAAAATGTTAGCCATGAACAAAGGAATATAAATATCTTAATATTTTTTAAAGGAAATGATCTTTCACAAACTTTTAAAATGTGAACTAATCATATAGTAAAGTCAAACGGTTCCGCATATGAATGTAATGCTTCATAAACTACAGACCCTACACAACAGCAACAAGTAGAAACAGTAAATCTACCTCACATGTGAACTTGCCAAGGGAAGTTATGATGCAAAATAGTGTTTAATATTATTATTATTAGCATTTCATATTTATTATTATTAATATTTATTAGCTTTGGCTTGTGTAGAAGATAAAATATTAAAAGTCTTATTTAAAGGAATCATCTTCTTTGATGTTCTTGGGTGGATTTTGAATACGAATATCGAGATAGTTCTCTTCTCTTTATTCTCAATCGTCTATCACGCTACATCAGTTGGTATAAGCAGTCCACACGATTCACGATGCCACCGAAGATGCAATCGACCAGAGTGACGCCGCCATCAACAATCATTTTAATAAGATGGAGGACCGATTTCAGCATCAATTTACAGATCTATCAACGGGTATCGAGGAGTTGCATCTCACTATCCGTATCATGGTGGAGGGTGCGCATACGTACCGCGCGCTGGCGACCGGGGGGGAATTCCGTGGAGGACGTGGCATAGGCAGGCCACCCCTCCGGCGTTCGCCACAACCCCTGCCCGGCGAGGAGACCGTTTCGGACGTCAATGCCTGCGGCGACCGGCAGGCGTGTTGTAAAGCCAAGGGCTTCAGCGAGGACGGCCTTCGCGAAGGTTACGTGGATTTTGAAGAGCAGCGGCGTCGAGAGCCTCGGCGTGAGACCGAGGGCTTTCGTGAGTTGCGATGGGAGACGGGTTTTTGGGTGGAGCATCTTACCGACGATGCAAGCACTTTCTACGACGGTCCGTCGGTTCGATGGGGAGCCTCCGGGATCGGAGGAAAACTTGACCGAGGATGTCGGCGGATCACGTGCTTTGTTCACGAAGCTTCTACGACAGACTGGCGGTCTTCGACGAAGAAAAATAGAAAAGACAGAGGAGGGGTCTGGGGCACCTACGCCGGCTGCGACACGTTCCACCCGCACAAGGATACCAGCGTCGAGGACTAGCAACCAATCCGCGGGCGGTTTGCGGTGTTTTTCTTGCGGCGAACTGGGGCGTTGACAAGCGTCTTGCCCTATGCCAAGTTATTCACGTGCGCTTTTGGCCGGAGACTGCGGGGCCGTCGACTATGACGGGCCGCCTATGTTCGATGAGGAGCAGCGAGTGACTGAAGAACATAAGCGGCAATGTGGGCCCGTTGAAATATATGGCCCTTTCTGACTTGCAAATAGTTTCTTGGGATTAACAAATGTTTTACGCAATAATGGGGTAGGCGTGCATTTCTCTGAGAATGTTGGTGGGACAATTCCTCAATCCTTGGGCAGCATGCTACAGACACAAGCCACTCTCATTGAATTAGAATGATTTGAGTGAGAAAATTCCTGAACAACAACTGAGTAGTGCTTAAGCCTTGAAACATTTAATGTGGTCCTATGACAACTTTACTGGGTTGGTCCCGCTTTTGGGTGGTTTGATTAGGCACTCGGTTGTCGAGCATGTTGTTCCCGATGGCGGATACTTGCAGGCTCGACTCCCTCCACAACTTGGAGAATATTAGAGATTGTTTGTTTTCTTAGCTACTGCAATTATCTTTGTTGATTAATGGATGGGCGGAGGAAGATTTCATTTGAGATCGGCATTTGTGTGTGGGACAGCGGTTGACTATGGCAATGAGTTCAGTCGACTTCGAGGATAAATCCTACTCATCTTCTTTCATGTTCTTGGTGGATTTTGAAAAAAATTCATAGTTTATCGATTCTTCTCTTTATTCGCAATTGTCTACCACGACATCAAGTCGTTTAGTATCAAGGCCCATAAGTTGACTAATCAAACATTTACAAAACCAATTGGCAAGTCCTTATATCTAGCACAGAAAAGAATGGCATGCAATAGTAATACAAAGAAATTGCAGCCTAATCACAATGTATAGTTTTCCATAATAGCATGAAAATTTTTTAGATGTAAAGAATCCCACGTATAATAAACCCCAGTTCCTTTAAACTAAGTAAATGCGTTAGAATTCAATAGCATTAAAAATCTTTGGTCTCCTTTCAGTAATCATGTTGTTTATATACAAGTTTATAAATAGATTAATTTCATTACGGCACGTTTGCCCTTGTGTGCTAACTGGTTAGCTACAGGGATTATAGTACTAACCACTGAGCTAATACACGACAGAACTAATACTCCAATACACCTCTTTTAAACTAATCTAGGTCAAACCTTGACGAGAAAAAATACAAAGTGTAAGAAACCGAGTTGTCGAGTAGGGTTTGGTCCAAAAATCAGTATTTTGATCCTCAGAAAGAACATAAGGCATCAATCTGCTTCTTAATATCCCTAATACAGTGAACATTGAGCTCGATATGCCTTGCCTTTGCATAATAAACAGGTTGGAGGCTAAGGAAATGATATTCTCATTGTTGCACCAGATTAAAAAAGGTTTGTGCGAGTAAAACGCTAAATCATCAAACAGAGAAAGCAACCAGACCAAATCAATAGTGGCAGTTGCCAAAGATCATTAGTCAGCCTCTGTGATGTTGCGAGCAACCACAGATTGCATCTGTGATCTCCAGGCAAGAAGATTACTCCCTGAGGAAATACAATGGGCACTAATCGTTAATGAATGGTGTGATGAGGGGAAATGTGAGGGTGGCGGAGGAGGAGCAGGTAAAGGAAGAATGGGAAGAGAAAAGAAAATAAAAGAGGATGAACAGGTAAACTGGTAAAGGGAGCATAAAAGGCAAAAAGATGATAAAAGAGGGAAGTGAAGATTAATTTGCAGGGAAAGGACTGTAACCTAAGAAGATGCATTTATGAGAACTAAAATGAACCTTAAAACAATTATAAGGCTTTAAAAATAGATAAAAAGCACATCCAAATAAGTACCAGCTTGAAGTTAGGTTTTTCAGCCACCTTTTATGTGATTCCATGGCCAATTGATCATCAGAGATTGTGAATATATTGACTATAGATTGTAAAATGACCACAACAATTTCATATTCAGAACCAAGACCAGCTTATATGAAAGATAGAGGATCATCACCAAGTAGCTGTTTGAATAACATCAGAAATACCTGGCCTATTGACTATATAATCTTCAACGGCCAAATCACCTTCCTTAGTTGTTTGAGGCATGAGACACAAATGATTGTTACGGCCACGAGATTTAGTACAAACTAGAGTTTCGAGAACAGACCAGATCTGAGATGATGTCGAACACAGAGTAACAGATCCAAGAACACACTCAGCGTTGATGATAAAAGCCAGGTTACTAGTAGCTGATCACGACGCCTCCATTGAAGAAACTACGGATTCGGCACCGGAGAACCTGAAGGAGATGACGGATAAGTAAATTCTGCCGGCGGCAACTATTTTCAAAGAAGAAAATCCTCGAATCCATGTGCTCTCACAGTGAATAAAGCCAGTGCTCTCCAGAATTTGTAATTCTGACGATCAAGTTTCAAAGTTAGGCTATTGAGGTCATCGAAAAGACTCTTATGAGAGTGAACCAGGAAAATGAAGAGGAAAAGGGGAAAAAAAAAAATTATGGCGAGCAGATCTGATTTCCGGTTAAATTTATTTCCGGTGGGAAGCAGAAGAGGCCAACTAGATCTGGTTACCGTATTTATATAGTAAAACAGAGAGAAAAAGAGATTTAAGAGATTACGGTGCAATTGGATGCCAAAAAACATTTTTCAATCCTCAACCAAAAAATACACTATTGATTCATCTCAGATTTTCCCTCATTTTCAACCGTACCAACAAATTTTTAAAATTAAAAAAATCCATCAGTACTACACATTTTTCTATAAAATTCGCTATGCATTCACTCAAATATTTATAACTACCAATCACGATTTTATTTAATTATCACTCTTCATATCACATCATTTCACATTATACAAAACATTAATTACTCCACTAAACTTTCTTTCTCCAAAAAAAAAAAAATCCCAACAAATGATATCCAATCACACCCAGTCTCATTTCAGTAATCGTGTTGTGTATATACAAATTTAAATATATATTAATTATTTACATTATATATTTTTAGTTATATTTAATTTATATTTTACAATATAAATATATACAGAAATATAACTTTTAAGTTATATGTGACATATTTTTCAACATAAATATATTTTATATACACGAATTTTTATATACTACATAATATATTAAATTTAGTATAATTATCATTAACGAATCGACTATTTGGTAATTTCAAATGAATATATGTAAATTCGAACATAGCTGGCTAACTAAGCATACTATAGTATTAAGTGTTCAGCTAATGCTCAAGTATACTAATGCTCCAATAGTATCTATATATAAACATATATCTAGTGTGGTAACTAATACTCTAATACTATCTATATGTAAACATATATCTAGTGTGGTGCATGTAATTAATATTTGTAAGTTATGCATATGAATTAATTATGCTATGTGGTGATGGGTCAAGTGTGGAGAATTAATCTGTGTGTCGTGCCAGTGTGTCGGCATTGAAGGAAGCAAGCAACAGGAACATGTATGTGAGTGCGGGTATGTAGAACATGATTATTGAAATGAATTCTTTTCCTAATTCATGAAATGTTTAAATCATTTTCTTTTTAATTAGGAATTGATGTATGTTTAGCGATTTCTTCGTATCAGCGAAAAATTCATTGTACAGGTTGTAAGGCTTACGAATAGTCTAAATTGAGATATTTTGTTTCTATCCTATAGGCTAATAATCATGCAAGGAATACGAGCACATCATACCAACCGACTCAAATTCTATCAAACAACATATTTTGAGGAGGGAAATACCTGTTTTTCTCAAGTTATCATACCAACCGTCAAATTCTATCAAACATATTTTATACTATAGGCT